AAAATTTAATTTTGTATTTTGATTTAATTCCAATCTACACTAATTCAATCCTATGAAATTGCAAGTGAAAATCTCAACAACTCTAGAAGATATAGCCGATTTACTGTGCTAGCATCAAGTGACGGCAAGAGGGCTTCCCAAACTTTATACGCGATAAAGGCCATCAAAAATAAGGATTTTTTTTAATCCCATAAAACAACAACAATAACAAACCAATTTTGTAAATTGTTTTTCTTCCCCTTTAAACCTTCAAATATATATATCTGCAAAGTTACAAACCTTAACAAGCTTTGGTATCGATTTACTAGCCCATTGAAAAACTTGAAAATATCCTATTAACTGTACTGTTGCTTGTAAACTAGAATCTACCTTCTTGAATCTGCCCTGTGGCCATGCTACTTTATACACTATTTCGATTTTGGTGTTATCGAAACCTATTGAATTTGTTGCATCTGCTACCGTCGCCAGATAACAATTTTAAAGTTTCAATCGTTCAATCAATTATATTTTTTTAAGAAATAAGAACAATTTTTTGGAATAATGATTGAAGAATGCTTAGTAGATTCTTGCAGTACAGGAACAGGCCAAACGTTGTTCACCGCATAGTGTATGGGGCCCTTTAGTCTTATCAATACAAAATGCCGATTAATCGATTAGTCGAAAGTAGATTTACTTATCCCTAACCACCGCCAAACAACTATTTTGAAGTTTCAAAAGTAAACGTAAATTTTTCCAAGACAAGTTAAAATCAGAAGCATTTTCCTTGACATAATTTTACAAATTTCTATTATGTAAATTATGCATTAAACTTTTTCCAAATAAAATTTATGCAATACTATCAATTAGAATTTAGTTTAATAGAAATTTTCAAGCAATAAAAGAAATTTGTGACCTCCTTACATATTTGGTGTGTTTGTTGTGTGTTGCAGCATTTTCGACTTGGTGGCTTGTGCTGATGTGAAGATCATCAGTAGTAATTCAAAAACAAAAAGTACAGTGTTTGTAGTTTGACAATATAAACTATTGAAGGACGAATTTGGAGAAATTTCCAATTAAATAAAAACATTAGTTTCATTAGACCTATTGCAAAGAGAGCATGGATAATACATCGCGTCGATCAAGTTTGATGGATGCCAGCTGTACAACAGCAACATCTGTCTATTTATCTTTTGATGCGGAGAGCACAATTGCCGGACAGACATATTATCGGACACTGGAAGGTGATATATCGAGTATATCGAATATTTCCAAAATTGAAGATGTTTGTGACAAGACGGAAGAACAAAAACATGGTAACAGCACTTTGGAAAATCAGAATTCCTCGGTGGAAGCCAGTCCCCTCAAGACGGTAAAGAAAATAGACGTTGCGATGACAACAAATTCTCCTTTGAGAGTTTTGCCCAAAAATATTATGCGCGAATATAAGGCGTTGTGTTCGACACCATCCAAGGAACAGTTATTGAAAACTGTCGATGTTACCCGTGGCTCGGATGTCAATAGATATGATGATTTGGGTGTTGCATTTTTAGGGGTTGATGATGGAATGCCGGCATTTTTTCCACCGCCGCCACCATCATCAGCGACTACAACTCAACGTCAACATCATCATCAACAACAACGTTGCGAAGAGAATAAAGAAAATATATCGGATGGATCTACCTTGTCAGTTTCATCTTCTGTAGAAATAGCCACATCCATTATTGAGAGAAAATGTTTGTCGACGGCAGGAGTTATGACCATGGAGCAAATTTCTATGGTAGAAGAAAAATGTTCGCAAAATGTTGTGAAAGAATCTGTACATGAAAGCCAGGAAATTCAAGTGGTGGAAATTAAGAATCATTTGGTTGGCGGCGAACCAAATACCGGTATTGAAAACATGACTAACAATGAAGATGAAAAGGCCGTATCAGTAATTGATTGTCAAATTGGTAAGTTATTTGTTTATATACTCTAAACAGCTACATTTTGTAACATAACTATGTTATTGCTTAATCAATCTACCTATGTATGTTGGGGGCCATTTTAATTTGTAAACAAACAGGTTAATACGATACGATCTGATCGTCTAAATTTTACACCGAATATCATGATATTGCACCAATTATAGTACGATTAAGTACTATTCTTACATATAAGTAAAAATTTTGCAAAATTACGTACATATTCCAATCCTACATTCCGACAGTAATGTTAATTTCAAATTTCAGGATTCCAGCTCCATTTCTGCCTCCAAATTAATATTGTACTAAATAGTGTACGCTTTCAAAGCACCTCCTTACATCGACTCTTCTTCTTAACCTTAATTCGCATTCCAAATTTTAAGTTTTAGGGTGACCCTCACCGAAATTTCCAGATTCTAGCCTCAAACCTTTCGTCTAAGTGTTGATGAATCGTTAAGTCAGACAGTCAATCACTTTACTCTTTTATAAGTATAGATAGGATCCTGTCTAAAAATAGCCCCAATTTTTAGCATTTTATCTTTCCCAATAATTTCAATTTTTGTTTCAACAGATTCGAATGGAAAAATTGTTGAAGAATCCGTGACAAAATGCCACGAAATTGATGATGAGTTGGAAAGTAAAAATAATATATCCAGTGAAATAGTAAATGAGATCCTCTTCGTTATTGAAGAAGTACCTCAAACACCGGAAATACAAACTGAGGCATCCGACATCAGTACAACTCCAACTCCTACCGAAACAAAAGAAAAAATAGATATTAAATTGGAAAACACAGATGCAACAGAAAAACAAAATGAGGAGCCACCTTGTGTTGATATTCCTGAAAATGAAGAAAAAACTGTTTCCTGCATGGAACCGGTAATGGTGTTAGAAGATGCAATTCAAAACGAAGAAATTGAAATGAGGCAAGGTAAGAATTAATATTTTATTTTAATTATTTACATCTTTCATTTACATTCTGAAATAATTATAGAAACATCCGACAAGCTGGAGTCTATAATTCCTAGCAAAGAAAAAGAACAAACAAATTTCATCCAGAAACCCAATGAAAAACAAAAAATTCCCGTATTTAAATCGCTTGGCCGTCGCTCGGTTTGTGAACCAAATTTGAATACAAATAAACCTTCACGAATTCTAAATTCAAAAGGCCCTAAAAGGCAATCAATTTTACCAACAGCAACTAGGAAACAAACTATGCCAATGGATATTGATGTGGAGATACCAATGCTTATGAGTAAAATGTTAAAAATATCAAACACGTCCACAAAAGAAGAGATAACAAAATCTAACAAATCAGAGCAAACTGCTAAGTCTGAAGTGGAGGAAATTATAAAACCCGACAGCAAGAAATCAGACAAACCAGAACAATCTGTTAAATCCGGATCCACAAAACCAATCAGCAAACAATTGGAAAAACGACGTTCTGCCATACCCACTGGAGCGGGAAAAGGTAGATCATCCCTGCTGCCCTCTGCCTTGGGTGAAAAGAGACCATTTAGTTTCACACAACGCATGTCGGTTGTGGTGAAGACTACCTTAAATAGTCCTGCACGTAAAATGGCAAGAAAAAGTACACTGGGTTCAACTACAACACATTTGCAGCAGCAGCATCAAAGAAGAAGTATGATGGCCACACGAAAATCAGAAGCTAAAGTTGAGTCAGGTGTTCGCAGAAGTATGTTACCGAGTAGTAAAATTGGAATAACAAACAATATGAAAGCTGGGAGAACAGGATTTCTGGGTACAGTTAAAGAAATTCCAACACAAAAGAAATCAGCAGAGACAGCGGCAAGCAAGGTTACAACAACACAACCAACAACGAATAACACAGGCATGTTGAAAATTCAGGAGAACACAGTTTTATCTTGTCCCTCCTGCAAGGAACAATTTCGCATTAAATCATTGTTAGATGCCCATAGACGTTCACATGAGGGTGATAGTGCACCGGCCCCTAAAAAGCCTATTACAACAACGGCAACCGTTAAACCCCCGCCGCCGCAGCCATCCTCCACCAAACAACCACATTCCATACTCGATTCGCATTCAAATAAATGTAAATATTGTGATAAACAATTTGCATTGGTTCGGGCCTTGCATCAACATCTAATGTTGCATTGCTCCAAAATTCCACCAGGTGAAAAAAAGAAATTACAATTCACGGAATTAGATCATGTTGAAAAGGCACGTTTGCCAAATGTTTTTCATCGCGGCAATAGTAATGGTCACAACAGTGGAAATTCGGTGCAAGCAACACCTCGGGTGGCAACTAAAATGAGTGCCCCAACGACTACTACTACAGCACAAAAAGTTTCACATACTGTGAAAAAACCGGTTGAACCTTCCGGTGAAAAAGGTAGATATTGTATGTATACATTCGTGATTGTCCCACAAATATTTATTGGTAATATAATTTGAATTATAATAATTTAATTATTTTTATCTATAGATACAAGAGGTAAACCATCCACAGAAACGGCAGCCTCAAACACTACTGGATCACAGTCCTCTTTAAATAGCACCACCAGCTCAACGGGTATTTGTGGATCTATACAAAAACCTAAAACCAAATCTTCAGCACATTCGGGAGTATATCGCACGCCTAGCAAAACCGTACCATGTCATATTTGTAAATTAACATTTAAAAGTATTCTGGACTACACCAATCACAGTCTATCGACACATGGACAGAAAAATCATAACTCTGACGAGTTTTCAGCCGAAGATGAAATGCAAATGACATAAAAAATCCCTATACAAATGGAATGGAAAAATTACCTATATTAATTACTTTATTATACACAATTTTATTAATTTAGATGGAGGCCACCTAGGCGTTCAGCAGCACACCCACTTAATAATTATCAATTAAAATCATTACTGCAAGCAGTAAATGATACAAAGAGGGAAAAAAGGGACACATTATTTCCTTATATCAAACGGATTTTCATTATTTTTTTTAATTTTATGTTTAATCAACATTTCATACGCTTAAATAAAATATTTTTTTCTAATATTTAAATATAAATTACAAAATTGTTTTTTTTTCACATAGTCTTATGTTTTTGGTTTTTTCTCTGGTGGTGGTTTCATATCGACATTTTCTTGTTTAATATCTAAGGCTTGTTGATTACCACCTGATGGACTTGCCTCTGAGGGATTATTACCACTATTCCCTTCCGGATTATTAATATTTCCATCTTGTAACTGCTGTTGTTGTTGATGTATTATTGGAGGAATAGGTGGTGGGAATTTACGCAATAATTCCGCTAATAACATGTCAACTCGTTGCATTTGAAAAACGGTTCCATTGTCATCTTTGGCAGTGGTTTCTTTTTTAGCCGTGGTCTTGTTTTTATCGGCAACTGGAAATAAAATAAATTGTGACATTAATGGAGGTAATGAATATCAGACTAGCTGATAGGTTAGCAGACACACATAGTACGCGCAACTAGAATTAAATCCCCTTGAAAAACCGGATGTATTCATTTGACACCGGGCGGACCATTAGTACTTAAATTAAGAAAATTGGGTGAAAATCCAATTGACGACAAGTTTTTCCACGTAAAGCTATGTCATTGTAAAATAAGCACTAACGTTGGTGGACGCTGGAAAGAGGTTGTTACCGACGAAAACAAAAATTCACCCTATGAACAACAGCCGAATTGACTGCAGACAATGAAACCTTTTCAAAATGCAACAAGTGACTGGCTATTTATTTTTATCGACTCTTCAGCCGTGTGAATTGGTTTTTATTTACTTCCACATCTTCAAATATTTTTACTCTCATAGCTCAAAGCTCGGGGGAACTACGAGACGGAACCGCTTTGTGTGGCTTGTCAATTAATGAACCTATATTGAAATTTTCTTGCGAGGAGGCCTTTTATCTTTTGGCCAAATTACAGATTTTTCAATTGTAACATAGCTCTAGAAACTTTAATATACTTGAAATAATTCGGGATCTGTATATGAGGGCTATGTAAAAATGGTCAAAGGTAGAACCCGAAACACAACGATTGGAAAATACGTTTAGGACTACATTGGGAAGAGTCTTTTATATGAAGGCAATGTATTCAATTTTACCGTCCGATACCGTTCGGATGGGCCCTACTGTGATATAAACATATTACAGTAGTTTTGATATAGCTGGCTTGTTCGTAATTGCATTTTGGATTTAGCTGCACAAAATGTATCTCGTTAGCACTTTTTCTCAGATTCCCTCTCAAATATTTCATTCATACCTGCACATTAAATATAACGGCTTCGGACATTTGTACTTTTTCCCTCTACTAACTTAAAATTTTTGTATTTAGCTGCACAGATAATATCAAAATAAATACCAGTAAGGAAAGTAGTAATGTCGGACTGGGCCGACTATATGATACCCATCATCACATTGGGTATATTCTACATAGTCTCCTAACAGACGTCGCCTTTTCGAACGAACATTGACATGAAATTGAACGAAAGATATTTAGGGACTTTGGCGCACCATTTACATTAAATGGGACGAAAATATATATGGGAGCTACATCTACATCTGAACCGATTTTCACGAAACTTTGCACACATAATTCCAGACTTAATTCAGTACGCTGTGCCACATTTCGTGTAAATCGAAAGATATATAGGGACTTTGGTGCAACATTTACCTTAAATCGGACCAAATTATATATGGGAGCTATATCTAAATCTGAACCGATTTTTCCCAATTTCAATAGGGTTCATCCAAATTTCATCCAAATCGGATGACAAATGCGATCTGTACTTTGTTTACAATTAAACATCAACAGACGTACATGCATAGATCGACTCAGAAAGTGATTTTATGCATATTTTCAAAAGGAACCATGGGTCTATCTCGTTTCCTTTTGTCTGTTACAATCATATGCACAAAGACATAATAGCATGTACCACAGTGTGGTGTAACATTGTCACCTATTTATGTAGTGATTTCATATACGTGCAGCTTGAGGCAGGTAAGTAATTTTAGATATCTGCACTTTTGACTTTCCTGCACTGAAATTTTTACAAGTGTTGTAAAAATGCAATTCAAGTCAAAACTGCTGAATAACTAATAGTATATGGATTATATAATAGTATATGGACTATATACAATCGGATTTCGATACAAATAAATATGGGCACATTAAGATTTGTAAAAGTTCGATTAAATGTTTTGCTCTTGTCCAGGAACAAACATTGGGAAATATAAATTGGTGAAATGTGTTATGGAAATATCGTTTTTTTTTTTAACTTACGTTGCTTATTTGAACTAAAGTCCCACGTGTAACCCTTATTTGGATGATAACGTGAATAACTACTGGCTTCCTCAAATGCAGATTGTAGGTTTGTAACAGTTGATAACTACAAAAAATAAAACAACGTATATTTAAATATAAAATTATTATATAAAATCAAATTTTCTTTTAACTTACAATACGTGAACTTATAACATTTCCCAAATCCGGTGCCTTATATACCGTACCGCCAATAATATAATAATCAGCCATTGGTGTTGCCTCATGTGGATTGTGTCTGTGTTGCTTGCGTATAACATATAAAATGGGTTCATGAACGTGCAGCAATATGTATTCCACACCGACCATATTGCTAGAAAAGAAACATACAATTAAAATTAGAAATGTGTTTTCAATTAAAACAAAAAGACTTACTTTAAATTATCCAAACTTAAACGCTGCATACGAATAGTTTCATTATTGCTAAGATGATCATAGAATGGATTTGATTTACGACAAAAATAATCCATAACATTTGTTGGATCCAATGAGGCCATAATTTGTGTATCATGCCAAGAGACCCATAATGGATTCTCCTGCGAAATTGGTGGTGGTATTTGTCTGGGTAACATTTTGCCAAATGTGGAGATCTAAAATAAAAAAATATATATATGGCATTAGCTGTTGGTAAATTGAAAAACAAATAGGAGGTTGCAAGTTTGCCAGGGAGGGTATGCAAAATATATATAGAGGAGACAATCGACTCTGGTCACTTAGATATACACGAATTGAATTTTTTTGATGTTTGTAAATTTCTCGATTCTGACACTAAAGCCTTGGGCTTAACTCTAGTTTAGTAAAAACGATCAGATTTTTCTGAAATTTTTTTCAGAGGTAGGTATTTTTACCCTAATTATGGGGATATATTTTTTTCTTGGGGGACGTACCCGGTTACCCGGTTATTTGACCCGGAAGTTCGGGTACGGGTACCCGGTTATATCCGGTTCTACGGATCCGGTTAATATAATATGGGTATCATTTTAAAGGTTATAAAAATACCTTTCCATTGAGTGGTAATATGATGTTATCTCAAACCATTTTGGAGATATAGTCAAAAAACTGGGTTTTGGTCCCCGATTTTTTTGAAAAACTCCCTTAAAGTCGAACTTGGGCCCATTATAGTACCTCTCTAACCCAAATTCAAATGATAGACCACAATTTGCCCTTTCCAAAATGGTGCGATATGTGGCTGTATCTGTTGTGGATCAAAAGATATGGGCCTTAGAACCCTACAAAAACAAGAAAATTCTGTCGCGTAGCCGGTGTTGGTATCTGTCCATAGGAGAAAGTCTTAAATCCCCGGCCGAAGGCCGGCTACACAAAAAATATTCTATTTAGAAGGATTTTCTGCCGCGTTAGCCGGTGTTGGCATCTGTCCATAGGAGAATGTCTTAAATCCCCGGCCGTAGGCCGGCCACCCAAAAAAATATTCCATTTAACAAGAGATTCTGTCGCGTAGCCGGTGTTGGTAGCTGTCCATAGGAGAAAGTCTTAAATCCCCGGCCGAAGACCGGCTACACAAAAAAATATTCTATTTAGAAGGATTTTCTGCCGCGTTAGCCGGTGTTGGCATCTGTCCATAGGAGAAAGTCTTAAATCCCCGGCCGAAGGCCGGTCACCCAAAAAAGGATTCCATTTAACAAGAGATTCTGTCGCGCAGCCGGTGTTGGTATCTGTCCATAGGAGAAAGTCTTAAATACCCGGCTACACAAAAAAATATTCTATTTAGAAGGAGTTTCTGCCGCGTTAGCCGGTGTTGGCATCTGTCCATAGAAGAAAGTCTTAAATCCCCGGCCGAAGGCCGGTCACCCAAAAAAATATTCCATTTAACAAGAGATTCTGTCGCGTAGCCGGTGTTGGTAGCTGTCCATAGGAGAAAGTCTTAAATCCCCGGCCGAAGGCCGGCTACACCAAAAAATATTCTATTTAGAAGGATTTTCTGCCGCGTTAGCCGGTGTTGACATCTGTCCATAGGAGAAAGTCTTAAATCCCCGGCCGAAGGCCGGTCACCCAAAAAAGAATTTCATTTAACAAGAGATTCTGTCGCGTAGCCGGTTTTGGTATCTGTCCATAGGAGAAAGTCTTAAATCCCCGGCCGAAGGCCGGCTACACAAAAAAAATATTCTATTTAGAAGGATTTTCTGCCGCGTTAGCCGGTGTTGGCATCTGTCCATAGGAGAAAGTCTTAAATCCCCGGTCGAAAACCGGTCACCCAAAAAAGTATTCCATTTAACAAGAGATTCTGTCGCGTAGCCGGTGTTGGTATCTGTCCATAGGAGAAAGTCTTAAATACCCGGCTACACAAAAAAATATTCTATTTAGAAGGAGTTTCTGCCGCGTTAGCCGGTGTTGGCATCTGTCCATAGGAGAAAGTCTTAAATCCCCGGCCGAAGGCCGGTCACCCAAAAAACACCATGCTATTTAAAAGAGATGTCATGTAGAAAGATTTTCCTTGTTTTATAGGGTTCTAAGGCCCATATCTTTTGATCCACAGATACAGCCACATATCGCACCATTTTGGAAAGGGCAAATTGTGGTCTATCATTTGGGTCCTGTTTGGAGAGGGACTATAATGGACCCAAGTTCGACTTTTAGGGAGTTTTTCAAAAAAATCGGGGACCAAAACCCAGTTTTTTTACTATATCCCCAAAATGGTTCGAGATAACCGCATCATATTACCACTCAATGGAAAGGTATTTTTATAACCTTTAAAATGATACCCATATTATATTAACCGGATCCGTAGAACCGGATATAACCGGGTACCCGTACCCGAACTTCCGGGTCAAATAACCGGGTACGTCCCCCAAGAAAAAAATATATCCCCATAATTAGGGTAAAAATACCTAGGGGAGAGGGGGCACCTTTGAACGTGGGGCACCTTTGAACAGCGCTCATAAAATCTTGGTTTAATATTTTTCCGACCCGCAACCACATTTTTGTATATGGCAATCTTGTTCTCTATATGCGTAAACCACCTTGGCTTGCTTTTTCAGTTGTCGAAAAATTGTTCATGGGTGACCATGTTTTCTCAGTGTCATTGTAAACTTTTATTCGTTTGGTTGTAAGGGCGCAGGAAGAATTCTGTGATAGTTTTCTTTCGTCAAACAATTTTTTTGCATTCCAACAATCATTTCAAACATAACTAATGTAATTTCTTTCATATATATTTATTACAAAAAAATTAATTTTAAATTTCCGTAAAATGCCATGGGTGGGGCACCTTTGAACATGCCCATTAAACTCGAGTAAAAAAATGAGTTTTTAACTTTTGGCTTCGATTTCTCAAAATTTCAAATGGGCTAATAAGATTACGAAATTAACTGTATTTTTCACCATATTAATTTGTATTTTTAAGTCATTTTATGTTTTAATAACTTTTGATCTAAATTTTTTAAATTTTGAACATTTTTTATATATTTTTTAATGAATTAATGCATTTCTGATATGTATGAATAAAATACATACATATTTGAACATAAACACTGTAAAAAACCATGTCGTTCAAAAATGCCAACCCCTGTTCAAAGGTGCCCCCCTGGGGAGGCAGTTTTGAACACTTTGAGTTCGTCCATTAAAACATTAATAAAATATATTTCTAAAGCTTATAGTATGTCATATGTATATTCATTTTAAAGGTTACACATGTACCTATTAGTTAAAATTTATAAGATACCAAAAATGATAAAATAAAAAAATTTATAAGGCTTGAAAGCAAAAAGTGTTCAAAGGTGCCCCCCTCTCCCCTACCTCTGGAAAAAATTTCAGAAAAATTTGATCGTTTTTACTAAACTAGAGTTGTTCCAAGCCTTGTATGCCGATAGGGTCTCAAATCATAAATTGCCAAAATTACAATTTATCACAGCTGTTTAACGCTATCTACAATTGGCAAGTAATTTATTCACTAGGCTACATGGAGATGACACCTGTGTTGACCAAACCATTCCTAATGCAATAATAATCAATTATTTATTTGGCAATTGATTCTGCGGGACCACCGGCTTTTTCAGTTTATACTCGGTTTTTTACTTTGTTGTGCTTTCTTCGTCTATTGTTTTGTTGTATAAACAAATTGTTAGCAGCACGTCATTACTTTTGATCTATTTTGTGCACTTCCTATTCGCGTACACACATAATTGGAGGTCAGTGCCGCTATGGCAGCAGACGCGGAATGCACGTTGTTTACTTTATGTTTATGTGGACACTTGCATTATTTTTACATTTCATTTTAGTGATTTGATTTATCTTAGTTAATTTTGTGCTTCTGTGCAAAGGTTGTGTAATATAAACGTTTATTTATTTAGTTTTCAACCGAAATCGATGTGTTTGAGTCGCGTCCGGTCTAGCTACTAAAATATACCAGAAATCAACAGGTAATATGTATCATTTTTCGAATTTCACTCTTTACCGTGTTGATGTTGACGTTGTTGTTATTGCACCTTATTTGTTTATAAATATTGGGGGGATTTTGAAAATAAGTGAAAATAAATTGTTGGTGTGCAATGAATTGCCTTCAAACTTTTTTTGAGACAAATAGCTGGGAAAATAGAGATAACATAATCGATTAAGTGTAAAAATATATGAATCGATAAATGGCAAAATCGATTATTGATTAAAGGAAACCTACATTTACGCCGTTAAAGTATTTACTTTGCTCGGCAAGGAATATCCCAGGCTATAGAATGTAGCTTTATTGAAACACTGGGGAACTAATTAATATCACATCCTTTCAGTTATGACCAGTTCCAGTTGTTTTGAAACCAACAATAACAAAAATATAACATCTTCACATGACAAACGATAAATGTTGTGATATAAACGCCGGCGGCATGCCCTGCCACTAAAACACGACGGCTTCGAACTTTGATTTCGATCTTTTGCGAACAAAATAATAACAAAAAACAACAACAGATAACAAAAGAAACAAAAATAAAATAGAAAAGAAAATTTTTTTTCGTGTGTTGTGTGTTTTTATATTTCTCTGTTTTCAAAATTTATTGGGAAAATAGGAAAATTGGTGGATTTTTCAGCCTCAGTTCGTTCTGTGCTTTGCATCGTCGTGGCGGCATATCTCAGAAAGAAAAACAACGTAGAACCGAAATTATGGTAATAAAAATTAATTCGAAATAATTTTATACTAATTTGTGAATACCGTTCATCATATGTGGAAATAATCGATAATTGTTAGGTCGTAATATTCATTGAGAATTGAATTACTACCAAAAATAAAAACTGTTGTGCTATTGTTAAATGTTAAACTCATACAGCCTTGGTAGAAATAATCATCCTCTGGATTGTGTGCTATATTGTGTGGTAGTGGTTCATATCCTTTGTTGTCGTTTATGGGATCTGAATGTGAAAATTGCCTCCGTCTGTGGATAATATGTAACGGGCCCGTCCATTCGTCCCCCTTTTTGTTGTAATACCTTCTCTACTGTCTGTTGTTTAACTTTACATCTTATGCAATATCATTTGCGATTTCCAGCATTATTGCGAATCATTCCTCCAATATGTGCGTGCGTATCAAACATTCCATACATAGCTAGTCCATTGGCAAACAACAAATTTCTGTCTGTCCTCGCATCCGCACACAGAACTGTTGCTATTTAGCCTCTATTAACCTTGATTTATCTCGGAGTCGTTTGGTTCGCCTCGAAATTGACATGAGTTGACTTAATGCGTGCCAATGTTTTGTTTGTTTTCTCCTCTCATGTGCGAATACATTGGACTCATGGAACTTGTGTGAATGAAAAGAAAACAAGTGGTTGTTGGTTGGTAGCGGTCGATTGGTGTTTATATTCGTATATCTATAAATACGCATGTGAACATGAATAATGCATGTTCAGCAATTATTGCTGATAGATATTTAGCTGGGAGCATCAGATAGTTTTTAATTTTTTTATTCATTCAAATTTAATATTTAGTACAATACGTAAATTTTTATTAACAAAAAAAATATGAAGATATTTTAAGTAAAAGTGAATAATTACAATAATTAATATATTCATTATATATTTATATATCTATGGTGTAGGGCGTCATTCTATTATCAACGCCTTGAAATACTCAACGGAGACCCCATAAAGTATATTTATTCTTGATCGAAATAAAATTATATGCCGATTCAGCCATGTCACCCTGTGTTTTGAATTCATGATAATCCTCGCAATATTGAAGATAGAGATTTGCAATTTTGTTATTGCTTCTAGGATATTTGGTATTGAAAATGTATGTAGGTCCACGTTTTTGGGTAGCAGCGAACTTTTCTATCTTGATATGGGACTACCCCTATTATCCTGGTGTAAAAAAAACTTCTTTCCAAACTCTATTTAAAATACTTTAATTACTTAGCTGTCTTGTGACAGAACATTTTTTGCATAAGCCGAGCTTAAAAAAAGATTTCCAGGCGCGTCGGTATTGCGCGTTGCTCTTCCTATTTGAAAGACCATGTTTCGAAATGTTCTCTTCCACTTGATCTGCGTGAGCTATCTGTTGGCATGATTTTATATGCCTTTTGTGCTGGGACATCCTCATCTATCCATATGACAGAACCGGTAGTATCAGCGTTTTGTGGAGTGTGAGTTTGGTCTGGCGAGAGGTGGATTTGTTTCTGAATTGCTTACTTACACCATAGTAGCATCTGTTGGCCAACATTATTCTTCTCCGCATTTCAAAACAGATGTCAGTAGTTTTATTTATGGCGGTACCAATGCATATAAAGTCTTTGACTACCTCGAAGCTGTATTTCTCAAGTTCCACACTTGGTCTGTCACCTTGTCTGAATCCTCGTTCGGTATTAAAGGGCACCGATAGGTCCTTTCCGACTTCAACTTCTGATCTTGTGCCAGTTAAAGTTACCCTGCATAGTCTTATTCCTTCCAGGATTTGGGGCTGTGTGCAAATCTGGTCTTTGGTAGATTTGACAAGTCTGAAGCCGCATTGGTATGGTCGAATAATGCCATTGGCTTCAGTCTTTCACACGTCACGCTGGATAGCACTATATATGCGATGGGAAGGAGGCTAATTCCTCTATAGAGGCTAATTCCTCATCTCCCCTTTTTTGTGAACGGGAAACAGCATGCATTCCTCTAACCAAATTGTACTAGTCAGCTGGTCCATGCTCCTGACCAGCATCTGACCATCAATCTTGAATAGTATGACTGGTAACCCATCGGCCGATTGATTGCTATTCTGACCTCATCTTGGCTAGGTTGTATGCAAACCGTCATCTCCTATTGGTTTTGGAGTATCTTCTTCACGGTCACTATTTGATACTAAAAGCTTATGTGATCAATTTGTTCCCCTCCTTTCAGCAGGACACACATCTTTTTGTTGACCATTGAGAGGCAATATTTCATTAATTCGCAAATGTTTTTAACCTCCAAACAGTATTGCGCCCTTTTAAAGTTTTATCAAACAGTAGGAAGCAAATCGCACTATGTTATATTATGCATTAATTCACACATACACAGTTGAGGCCATAGAACATTTTGATCTCAGTATTTGTGTCATATAACTTATAATTGTGTCATATAACTTATAATGCAAAATGTATTTTTTTAATAAATTAGCAACAGTCCTTCCTTTAGTTCTATCCTTGAATGATAATATACAATAATAATATTTTAAAAACAATTTTAATTTTTAATTTGTTTCTGTTTTATTTGTAATTCATGGCCTTTACATTTGTTAACATTTTGTAAATGTAATTGTTTAAAGAGTTAAATATCTCTCCTTTTGTGCTCTCCTTGAATACAATGTTTCATTTTTGTGTCATAAATTCGCCGCAAATTTAAAAATATAAATTTTTCCTCTTCCATTTTTAATAAGTATTGTCAAATAAATGTCTATCCAAATAATTAGGTCTTAATGTTGAGTCCTGTATTTTGTAATTGGGTAAAAAACCTATATTTCCAAAAACAACGCTGTCGTCTTTACTAAAAAATAAATAAAAATTCTTTTAATTTTTTAGAGCACCATAAGAATTTGTATTACTACATTAAAAATTGTCTTCAGTATTTGTAGTGGCTTTAGTTGGTATGCGCTATATAAAACCGGAACCATACTATGAGGTATTTCTACGAAACAAATTCAAATTAAAAACACAAAAATGTAGCAGAAATAAATAATAAAATTTTAATCATAACTCCAGTAGTAGTATTATACCATTTAAAATTTAATATTCTATAAATATTTATTACATCTTTTATTTTATTATGTTGTATATCTCACTATAAAGGGTCTCCCACCATTTAATGAATCCGGCAGTCCCTTCAATGTTGTGCCAATACATCAATATCCTGAGCTAATGAAGGATACATGCGCCCTCATCAATTCCGAATGGCCACGAAGTGAAACGGCGCGCATGCGTTCCCTAGAAGCATCATGTGATACATTACCCTGCAGTTTGGTTCTAACAACCGAAGGTCTCAGCCGTGTTATTGCCCATTGCAAGCTTAGTCCAATACCATCGAAGAGTAAATCGTGCTTCATTGAATCGGTGGTGGTGGATAAGAGTTGCCGCGGTCAAGGTTTCGGTAAATTAATAATGAAATTTGCCGAAGATTATTGTCGTGTCGTATTAGATTTAAAAGTATTATATTTGTCAACAATTGATCAAGAAGGTTTTTACCAAAGAATAGGTTATGAATTCTGTGCCCCAATCTCAATGTACGGCCCAAGACATTGTGAATTGCCCAGTCTGCAGACAGCCAAAAAGAAATACATGAAGAAAGTTTTATAGGCAACAATCGAAACAGGAATACATGCAAAACGAAAGGTAAATAATACAACAACTACAACGAATACTACGGTTGCAGTAAGTGTTTAACTTTTTCCAATGAAATACAGAGTAAAAGAAAGCTAAGCAAAGCTAAAGATACATACTACTACAACAACAAAAACAACGCATAGTTAAAAAATCAAGGGGGAAACCATTAGAGCTATTAGAAACAAAATAAATAAATCACAAAACAAAATACAGAGTCCAAAGCAAAAAACGAACTTAAGAAAAAAAAAGAACAGTAATAACATCAACATTTTAATTAGATTACAACATAAAAATATTAATTAATATGCTTCATTAAAAGTAAATGCCATCTTTTATCTATTTAAGTTTTTATTCACATTTCCATTTCTTATAAAGAAATCATATATACTTATTATTATCATTCTTTTTTCTCGTATTCTTTTTATTTTGGTTTGTCTTTATTACTGTTTATTGTTTGATTATGAACTTTTTTGAAAATGTATTTCTCTTGGAATATTTCTTTATGCAATGATTTTAGTTTTGAAGTTTAAAAACAAGTGAAAACCTGTATTTAAACTTAAATAACACAAAAATCATAGTAACAATGGCTTTATGCAGATTTACTTCTTGTAAAGAAGAAACAAAACAACAAATATTATTAAGAAATATTTTGTATAAGAATATAACTTTAAAAATCTATTGTGAATATGTAAGAAAACATGTAAAAAAGTAAACAATTTTTTGTCATATTTAAAATTATTTGTTTTTATTTAAGAAATTATATTATTACAAATTTAATTTGTAAGTCCATAGAATATTAATAACTTTACTGTGAATATACCATACCTACGTATTTATAAGCAGTAAATAAATATATTTTTGCTACATACATATAAAGAAAAATTGCTCAAATAATTTAAAAAAAAAATTGTTTTTTTTTTGTAATATTCTAATAAAAAATTATTTTTGAATATTACAAAAACTAACAAGAAATTGTATAAAGAATTTTATTGGTTCGAAATAAGGACATCAGATCGGCTGAGTATTTTTAAGTATGGAATTAGACTCTATACAAAAAAATATATTTATTTTCAGATGTAATTTTAGTATTGAATATATATTACATTAGAACTTTTTACCGGGTTAACTTACTTAATGAGGATTTATTTGACATATATGCAAAATAATTGACAATTGAAACCTGGTTTAACGAAATCCTGTTAAATGTAAACGTACTATTAGTCTCCTTTTTAATAATTTATTGAATTCATATTTAAAATCAAGTTGAAGTTTCATATCGATTTAAACCTGTTGCCCCATTTAAAATGTATTAAGGCCGTCGTATTAAATAGATTTTTGTATATGGGGCCAATAAACCAGAGGGGTTAATGCTTTTGAACAGTCTACGTAGGCAGTTCGTTAAGTTCTTAGCCTAGCACAAAAAGCGCAGTATAAACAGAAAAAAGTTAAGTGTTTTGGAAACTTCCATCTCTGTTATGAACACATGTTAAATTTTGTTTCGATCTGGTAACTCCTTTATATACAAACAGGTGTTCAAAAAAGACGCATCCGCAATTTTTTTTTTACATTGAAAGCACGCATTTCTAAATTTTCCATAGTAAAAAATTGCGGATGCGTCTTTTTTGAACACCTGTTTCTATATGAAGAAGTTTCCATATCAAAAAATATTTAATAAATTGCATCCGTAATTTTTTTACATTAAAACACGCATTTCTAATTCCATTGTAAACAATTGCGGATGTGTCTTTTTTAACACATTTTTGTATATGAAGGAGTTGCCAGACCGAAAAAATTTTAACATGTATTCATAGCAGAGATGGAAGTTTCCAAAACACTTAACTTTTTTTGTTTATACCGCGCTTTTTATGGTAGGCTAAGAACTTTCCGAACTGCCATGTTGAAGTATATTGAAGCAGAGATACTGTGAGAGTATTTATATAAAATTTTATATGGAAGGTTTATATAAATAAGAACCATCTTTGTCTACCTTGCTTCATTTACCCTGACACAAGATACCTACAAAATTTAAAAGGCATCTAACTAGGAGATATGGGCTATCACAAGAAAACATATTTATCGTTGTAATCAGGAAGTATGGATATTCACAAGAAAAAATATGTGTTAAAATATTTAAACGATCCGCTCCGGATCATAAATTATACCCTCGATGAAAATGTCCCTCATCGAAATATTGGTTTTAGACCACATGTTTCATTGGACCAAATCCGTTTCAGAAAATTTGGAGTCGATTTACACATGTCCGTCTCTCTGGCTGGTGCGCACGATAACTCTCGAAGGGAATAATCGATTTCATCCAAACTTGGCACACCATAGGGTGAGGGTATATATATGTCGACAGCACCGACTGACACTTTTTTCTTGTTTCCCTTTGTCTGTTGATATCAACATAAATCTTTCTATATTTAAGATAGACATTTGAAATTGTACACATATTTCCAATACACAGGGTCTACCTGAGTTGAAGAATACGAATGTAGGCAAGTATAATGTCATGCCATTGATCTTCACCAGACTTTAATTTCCACCTTCAACTTTATCCCCAATATAACCGCATCACTCTCATTATTCGGTATATCAAGAATTTTCAGCACATCTTCCAACCGAATTGACTGTAATTGAATATATGGATTCTCAAGATAACCCGAACCCGAATCGGCTGCAATTCCATTTTTCGATTCTTTCTTATTTAAATAATTGACTGTAGGAATAGGAAACGACATAGCAAATAGGGTATTAAAAATTCTACCCGTCCGAACTTAACCTATTTTCACTTGTTAGGCTGCAATAAATTGTGTATTTTACAGAGACATGGGATGGAGTGGGATTGAATCCTTCAATTTAAATAAACAACACCAAAAGAAAAAAACGATATATTTTTGTACAGATCAGGTTTGGCGTGAAATAAAGAAATATACGAGTTGTGAGTAACACTGAATAGACTTAAATTGGAACCAGATGGAGATACATCAGAATATACAAATGTAAGATGGATTGAAAAAAAAACAAATTTATTTTCCATGGATTTTGTAAAATTATTAATATAAATGAGATGGTAAAAAAATAAAACATTTAAAGTTGTAGGTTTTAAAAATTGTAAAAAGTCTAAGAAAAATGAAGGAATATTGACTTAATAAATAAAGAAAAAAATTCCCAGAAATAATGACGAAAATGTTTTTAAGAAACATGTTTATATAAAATATTTTTATAGAAATTATTTTATACAAATGCTTATAGAGCATATCTAAATATAGAAATGATAAATTATCAAGATTATCTATAGAAAAAAATAAAACATTATATGATAAGAACAATTATTAAAAAATATTTACAGAAAAATATTTTTATACAAAGTATTTTCTAAATGCTTATAGTGCATATCTAAATATGTAAAAAAATTAATATCAATTATCAAGATTATCTATAAAACAAAATATATTATGGGAAATATCTACTAAATACTTGCGTGTAGTGTATATCTAAATAAATAATTAAAACAAATAAGAAGAATAAAAATATATACATAAATCTTCCATTAAAGCAATTTACAAAACTAGTGGACTTACGAAATAACAGTTTTGTTGCAAAATATAAAAATAATTATAATAAATAATACATAGTCATATGCTGCATATCTAGTTTAAACTTCCGCATAAGCTAAAAACAAAAACTAAAACCCAAAATAAATTATTTTTTTGTAAAAATAGTTTCTATACCTAGAGCAAAAACACACATATAATGTATATGTACATTAACCCAAACAAACAAAAAATTAAAATAAATGATGAACATATTTTAAAAATGATGAAAACACTTCCTCTTTTTAAACGGGCATAGTCACAAAAAAAAAAAAAATAAAAATAAAAAAGAAACGAATTATAGAATGGCCACTGCAGAAAGAAATTACTCAAAAGCATTTGAAATGATTTTTGATTAGCATCCCATTAACAAATTGTCTAGAAAACATGCCGAGGCACAACACTGCAGTGCAGTCTGTCTGCTGCCAACTTTTCTTTTAAATTTGCTTACAAAAAATATAAACATTTGAAATATTTAGAATTTTAACACTTTTGGGATGCCCACACACAAACAGTACATGTCGTTGGCCATTTATTTTTTTGGTTACACAGTCTCTATTGCCAAGTTCAAGTTCATGATATTCAAAAGGCACAAACATACATCTGTCTTTATATATACACATATGTATGTTGAACCCAAAAATGTTTTTTTTTAACAAAAAAAAAGAAAGAACCGAAATGAAAAACTAAACGCCCATCTCGTGCTTTTCATCATCACAAAGAAAACGAAATAAAAACAACTAAAACATCGCCCCAAAAGATTGTGTTTGCAATGACGGCAAATGAAAGTAAAATAAAAAAATATCTGATTTAAAAATAGTCTTCGTTTGTTTGTATTTTGCTACGTAATAATTATACAAAGATTTCTTTCTTATTTTGTGTTCAAATTAAATAATTTTTCTACCTTTGACGTGGCTAGCATATTTATATATCGCATAGACTCTATTGATTTGGGAAATGTCTAGCTACGCCAATGGATTTTAGGCATTGTTCCACAAAATAAAAAAGAGAAGATTGATGCAAATGGCGACAAATGTCAAATTCAAGAAACGTCTCATCACTTTTCTAAATTCCTTAAATAGCAAATTGGAAACCGCGGTTGATGGGCCAACAAATTGTTTATTACCATAGTTTGGCAAAGGCGGATATTATATATGTACGTATATATGTATATATATGATAAACAAGTGAAACGGATGTCTATAATGGAACCAAACAAGTGATACACTACCCCAAGTCATTATTAAATTGTAGGAAATTAATTTATTAATTATTTGTTTATTAATTAATTGGCTCTGATTGGCTTTAACATGGCGAAGTCCAGGCTTATCTTGGTCCCTCTTTCATCTCAATTGTGGACACTGACCTCCCCGCGGTGCCACCTGGCGAGCTATTTTCATCACCCGATGAAATAGTGATCTAATATGTGCCGCGAGTTCACCCATAAGAACTTTAAAAAAAATTGGTTGAGGCGTCGGGTTAGTTGCCCACTCTCGGAAAACCCAGCCTCCGACCGAGGATAAATATGAACAGACCAACAGAACAGGCTTTGGCACAGACACACCCTCTGTAGACATGAAGATGGAAACCTGGTGACAGATACAAATAGCGTGCTGTGGATCTGGAAGGAGCATTTTGAAAAACTTCTGGTATCAAATAGTAGCAGTGAAGTGGATACCCCAGAACCAATAATAGATGATGGTATAGAATGTATACCACCTAGCCAAGATGAGGTCAAAATAGCTATTAATCGTCTGAAGAACAATAAAACAGCAGGATCCGATGGATTACAAGCCGAACTATTCAAGACTGGTGGTCAGATGCTGGTAAGGAGCATGCACCAGCTGATTTGTACAATTTGGCTAGAGGAATTCATGTCCAATGATTGAAACTTCAGCATCCTGTGTCCCGCGCACAAAAAAAGGAGACAAGACGATATGTGCCAACTGTAGAGGAATAAGTCTCCTTTCCATCGCATATAAAGTGCTATCCAGCGCGCTGTGTGAACGACTGAAGCCAATGGTCAATGACATTATTGGACCATACCAATGGGGCTTCAGACCTGGCAAGTCCACCATTGACCAATTGATTTTCACTCTACGCCAAATCCTGGAAAACACGTCGACTATAAAGCTGCATTCGAAAGCCCTATTCGTTCAGAGGTGTTTAAAGCCATGTCAGCGTTTGGCATTCCTGCATAATTAATTTGGCTATGCAGGATAACTTTAACTAGCACAAGATCAGCAGTTAAAGTCGGAAATGACCTCTCGGAGCCCTGTCCTCCTTGATGTCCTTGGGCTGTGCTCCTTGCTTTAACTCCAATCTTCCCTCGATTTAATACAATGTAGTGTCTTACGTATAACTGAAAACAAATTAAACCGTAACGCCGAAAAGTATGCTGCAATAAATTACAATATAATAATGTCGATAACAGTGTTTGATTTAAAAAATATCGCATGCTAGATTATGTAGTATAATGTAGATTATAGCACGATTAGAAATATTTTCCAACTTCAGAACACCGAAAAGTATGCTACAAAACCACGCCATTATCGACAATATATATAGATGCCCAAAAATATATTTTAGAAATAAATGTCATGGTTTTATTTTACCCCTCATGTCATGAGAACCATTCCATTATCCGCCGAAATGGTGAACAATTGTTGTTGTATTAATTATACCAATCAAATACTTTTTTCAACAAGCATATTGTTTGACTCAACATAATTGATGATATCATATGTTTTAATTCCAAAAGATTTTCAATATATTAAGGTGTACCATTCCATTTCCACCGAAAATTTCATTCACATGAACTAAAACAAAATAAGAACAAACTATTTTGTTGTTTAAGTTTTTATTATTCAATATTATAGTGCTTCAGATTTCTTTATCATGAAAACCGTATATGACAATAAAATTGTAACCATATTTCCCATAAAAATAAATATATTTTTAAGGAATTAAAAAAATGAATTGCATGACACTAATCAAAATGCAATTTTCAATTATCAGTTCGAGTACGCTATTCAATATACTGTATATACCAATTTTATTATTTCATAAATAGTAAAAAATGCATTATACCCTAGCACATTTGTCCAATTAAAAATAAATTCTTTTACGGAAATATAATTACAATACTCCGTGGGAATACTTAATTAAATGCAGTAATAAATTGCCATTTCTGCGGTTTGTTTAGATTCTATTTCAATTGAAAAAAGGCACATTAGAAATGAGATTGGGTGTGTGTGTGTTTTCGTGTGGTATTACTATCACGTAATACAATTCATTTTTCTTTTTTCTTAAATGCAATACTTTACATAGGTTAGACTAGGGCATTAAATTGCAATGCACGAAATAAATATTTATAGTTTTTTTTTAAAGGCGAGGATCAGTGAAAAAAATTCATTTCTTAAATAAAGTAGATACCAATGGCCGATTTTACATTTCTGACTTATTCATCAAGCTTTTTGGCTATGCCACATACTTGCTGATAATGTTCCGGCTGTTCCAATGAATCTACAATAAATTTAGCCAAATCAAATTTAGAAACTAAACGTCCCGGAGCCTCATCGTGTAAGACGGTGTATGCACTAGATGGTTCGTCAGCAATATGTGGTGGCAGCACAGCAATATAATCCAAATCGGAAGATTTTGTTAGTTCCAACATACGTTTGTGTTCATCGTTCAAACGATGAAACATGGCCGGAACTTCTGCGACGGGACGGAATAAAAACGAAGACATGACAATGGAGAAACGTTTGACATTTTTCGATTTCATTGCCTTAATAAGATTAGCAGTTCCGGTGGACATTTCAGTGGTAGCTTCCAATTTGTTGCGAGTACCCAAAATAATGCAAACACCATCGACGCCATCAACAACTTTTTCACAATCCTCAAAATTCAAAACATTGCCCTGTATCAATTTAATTTTATCCGATTTCTTGAAACGTTCTGGTACAGTAGCTTCTGTGCGGTAAAGAACTCGTACTTGGAAACCTAAAATATTGAAACTATTAATTATTAGTCAAAATCAAATATTGATTTTCACTTACCCTTTTCAACTGCATAATCAACAACACATTGACCGGTCATACCGGTACCACCTATTATTGCAAGTTGCATAATTTTATTGTATGTGTTTGGGTGTGCGAATTCGAAGAACACTAGGTTAAAACTCCTTTTGTTTGTTTGCTATTCACTTTGCAGTTTCGAGTGCAAAACTACTTGATCTTATCTGAAAAGCACACAAATAAATAAACTGTCAAATATAAACAAATTGTTTATGTGCGGCAATAAATCTGTAAACAGCGGAAAGAACAATATAAACAAAAATGTTCTTATTGGTTTAACGCTATTACAGACTTCGGTATTAATATTCTAGTAAAATAAAGGCAACCCGAATCGACTACCGGCACTTACCACCTTCATTGACTGAATTGAGGAATGAATGAATTGAGAACTTTCAGTGAGACAACCGTATGAGGGTTGCCACATTTCAGACTATTTTGTTATTCTATAATCACATAGCCACATATTAAATTTATTATTATGTTCTGTTCACAAATATGCATGGTACAATTCAAGGTGTATTTAAAATACACCGAATCGCACCCCTCTCGCCAACAAACTCAGAATAGTACGAAAAGTACTAAATTGTATTATATATAATTTGGATCTATGTGAACGGAAAGGGCTGTGATCCTGAAATTTATGATAAAAATGACTGTTGGGGTGTAGAATTGAGGAAGATTTGGAAAGACATATTTACGTCTACGAATAAATAGAGCTGGAATCATAAGTGAAGTAGTTTTGAAAATACCGGCTTATGGGTACGAAAAGTACTAAATTTGGTAAAATTGGGCATGGATGAACGGGTAGAACTGAAATCCGGAAAGATCTGTTCTGTCTGTTCTCGTACTGGTACATGGTACAATAATACAAGGTAGGGTATCTTTTGTCAACAAAGAGAAAATACACCTCTATCTTGTGGGTTATAATGTCAAAATGAAGAAAAACAAATGCAACAAGTCGTTCTGTTAAGTTGACATTTTACTAAAAAGGTGAAAAATGAATGGAATGTTAGGATTTCTGTTCAGAATTGAGTTGGGAATATGAATTAGATATTGATTCATTCACAAATCTTAAATTTCTTCTTACCAATGTTGTAGAATTAATTTTTAAACAAATTTAATTTTATAGCAGTCACACAGATATATGAAAAACTTGTAATTTATAAATTGCTATGGCCTACCTTGAATAAAAGGGAATTTACATATAATATTTAATCATGTTTAAATGCTGAATCAGGGTTTATTTTCTTAATCAGGATGAATTTACCATGATTTATCATACAAATTAAAATCATTGTGCGTCATGATACTACTGCGATGCAACGCGGTTTTTGTACGAAAAAATACAACTCCCTCACAATGTTCCTAAATTTGCAACTGTTTTCACATGCTGTTTGTTTTTAAATCTAACCGTTGCCAAATACAAAAATGAAGGATCAAAGAAAATAAAAATTATTTATAGTATTTTTGTGTTTTTAGGTGTTTTTTCACATTCCTAACAATCACAGCATTTCAAACATTTCCATAGTTGTAATTATTTTTTTTTTCATTTTCAAATGCAAACATTTCGAGCTCTGCAAGAATATTGTTATTTCGAGCTTCTGCAAGAATATACTACTTCTTAATACGATAACAAATTTCCCATTATGATATCGACAAAAATAGTAAAAACTAGTAGATTCTTGCAGCACGGGAACAGACCGACTGATTGTGTGCTAATTTACCAATCGACAGATGGCAACATTAAAGATTGTCATTTACCTATAACGGAATAGTGCGCATTGATGCTTCTGTCAAATTTAAAAATGATTGTTTCAATGGAAGAAAAACGCATCAAATAAAAACGACATCATTAATTTTATAACCAATTCATAAATAAAAATCTCAATTATGGATCCGAATGATGAAACATTTTCTGCACCCGATTGTGCCTGGCTATCGGAACAATTTTTTGTTAATCAATTCAGACTATTCAATCCGGAATACAATGAAAGATCATCAAATGACATATTTTCAAGCTACGAGACGAATACATTTTTAAATCCTGAACTTGGATATTCTGGACTTGATGTTCAGAATTGTGATTTAACGACGACAAGCCAACTTACCACATGCGATTTTCTATCCCTTGCAAATGCCACAAATGCTGGACAATCTTTTGAAGTAAAGTCGGAAATATTGGATTTAAGTTCTCAAACTACAAATGGGGATATTATTTTACCCTTAAGCGACGCAAATGACGAAGTTGTAGATGAAACACAACAGGTTTTGGATTGTTCTCAACAAGCTTTGGATTTATCTGTGGCATCACAAGGTAATGAAATGATTTGTAGACCCGGGATCAAGTAAAAAGCAAGTGTATTACTTATCAAACAGAAGGGAGGGGTATTTGTTATTAATATATTTGATTTTTTATAATTTTATTAAATATACTTATAATTTGTAGTATTTTATACAAAAATTCTCATGGAAATAAGCTTCCAACCCGTCATTTATTATTATATTCGAATAATAGTTATTTTTTCCCTTGCAGGCCAATCAGTATATTTATATCAGTCGATTCCCCACACATCGAGTGTTGGACATATCAAGTGTACAAATTGCAATGGCTTATTTGATGTAGTGGCATTTCAAACCCATATCTGTGCTAACTACATAAACAAAAATCCAATTCAAACTTCGCTCGTACCTCAATCATATCCCATGGTGGTACCTACCACTTCCTCACCTATAATATCTACCACTTCGCAAGCAGAACATAATACTACTGAAATTTATATACCAAAAGAAAATCCTACTACGTCTTCTGCGGATGATCCTTCAGACATTGTTAAATTCGTTATTAGAAAAAAGCCAATGCTGCCAACTGATCCTGCTTGTATACGATTATTAAATGAAAATCAAATTCGTCTGAGACGATTTCTAAAATATGAACTAAAATACGATGTTACCACAAATGCAGCATTTAAAATGACTAGCACTAAATCTTATGGCAATGATACTAGCAGCGATACAATTTATACATCCACATCATCGGCTTTATCTTCAACAACTGATGCAAAGAAATCAGATGGACCACATGATTGTACCCTATGCGAAAGATCATTTGTACATTCATCGGGTCTACTGCGTCATATGGAAAAACATGCAATGGATTTGATACCATCGAGTTCGGGCAAAGGTGGTGTATCACAAACAATCACCTCGTTGCCTAATAACAGTGGTCTTAGATTGGTAATTAAATGTACCCTTTGCGGTAGAATACTTTTTGAACCGCGTAGTGCTTTGGAACATTTATATGGCCACTTTCCCAGCACTTGGATGGAAGAAAAAGAATTGGATATTTGTTCAGATGTGCCATATGAAATGTATATTGATGATGCTTTGCAGTTTTTAAAGAATGAGGTATGTGCTAAGTTATACTATTCTTTAAGAGACTAATACAAAATATCAAAAGGATTTTTATTGAATTTTCTATATTTTTGTAGGCTAAAAACGATATACCATATCAAAGCCCAGAGCAAGATATTACGGCAAGTGATAAAACTTCAAAGTTGCTGAAAATGGTTATCTTAACATGTATCCTACAATGTGAATTCTGTGACTTTGTCTTTTCCGATGTCTCATATTTATTCGTGCACACAGTTTGCCATTCACCCGAAAGAAAATTCGAATGCTTCTCGTGTGATATTTGTGTGAGAACAACGAAAGAAATTACAAATCATTGGCAAACGGAATGTGTTTTTATGCGGGAAAATACAAAATTACATGAAATCGCTGTTCAGCGTTATTTTGTTTGTAACGTGTGTGAGAATAAGTTCCCGACACTGGACCAGCTGCATGAACATCGGTAAATTTATGTTGAAATTTAACAACTAACTTAAAATTGTCTTAAAAGATAATTGCGTTTTTGGGACTACAGTCGAAATCGCTTATTACGACGGTCAAGAGTAGAACTCAAATCTGAGGCAGTCCTCAAGTGTAGAACAGCTTTGGAACAGTGTAGAAAAGCTATCGGCTATGTTGGGACATCATGGGTAATGAAAGAGCAGACGAATTAGCTAGACGAGGATTTCAATCCACATATCTAGCAATTGATGACTCAATCAAACCAACCATAAGTCATCTTTATCGGAAATTTGTGTCAAGATCTATTTGGCCGACTCTGTCTACCAAAAGGACATACTCACTGTTGAACCTGAGCAATGCCGAAATAAGAGTAATGACAGGAATGGTCATTGCAATATCACGGTTTTTACTAGTATATGAGATCATGATGCAATTGATTACTGTAGACTCTGCGTTGACGACGAGAAGACGGAGACAACTGTGTCACTGTGCAGTCCTGGCTTACAGGCGACACAGACTAGTGGGTGCTCATTTTCCACCGAGTCTTAGTTTCTTCTCAACATCTGAACCTGAAATTGGTTGGAAAGTGCAACCTTGATACGTAATATATCTTCTGTCCGATCTCTATAGCCATCGATATTATTTCAAACTTAACTTCTTACATTTTCTTGTAAGCATGAGAAGCTCTCTCTATCCCTCCTTCTTCTCTCCCCTATAGATCTCTCCATATATCTTTCTTTTCGTGGATGATCACAATGGACCTGATGGTTTCAGAGTGCTGCAGCCACATAAGTGACTGCACTTCCCCAAACCTAACCTAGGGCAGAACTTTTATCGGGACTTTATAAGAAGTGGTTATAAACGATATGTTATTATAAATGATGTCTTTATAAACAATTCGACTGTAATTCAAATATTAGCAAATTCCTCTCCCATAAAAGAAATCCCCTTTTACACATATTTCCGTATCCTTACTTACTAGACTATTTCCATAATTTTTATTTTGTTATTTTCTTCAGTTACACTTTATACCATTTCTTTCCCCGTCTGAACCATCGATTGGGTATTTTGCAAATACCTTGTGAATATTGCGATCATGTTTCGGAAAATGTTCAAGATTGTTTGGCGCACTATGAAGATAATCACTATAAGAAACATAGGAAGGAAAAGGAGGGTTCTGTAAATCCGAATAGAAATCGTTTATATTTATGTGATATTTGTGGTAAATCCTATACACAGTCTAGTCATTTGGGACAGCATTTAAGATTTCATCAAGGTAATACTGCATACAATTAAAAAAATATATATATAATAATTCTGACAATAAATGTTACCATATTTTAGGTGTAAAACCCTTTGCCTGCAAAGAACCCGGCTGTAGCCGCAAATTTACCATCCGTCCCGATTTAAATGATCACATACGCAAGTGTCATACGGGAGAACGACCATATCATTGTCTGGTTTGTGATAAACGTTTTTTGACGGGTTCGGTTTTCTATCAACATCGTTTGATACATCGTGGTGAACGTCGTTATGAATGTGAAGATTGTGGCAAACGTTTCTATCGTGCTGATGCTCTGAAAAATCATCAACGTATTCACACTGGGGAGAAACCATTCGGTTGTTTATTTTGTACGAAAAATTTCCGACAACGTGGTGATCGTGATAAACACATGAGAGCCAGACATTCACATTTGGATGCCAATGCTAGGCTAATGATGCAAATGCAAAAATTGCAATTGGAGGCAGCGGCGGCCAAAGCAAGTAATGCCACCACTCAACAGCAGTCTGGTGGTAATCCTTCCTCTATTGAAAGAAAAATTTCAGCAGTTTGTGGAAATCATTCTGTTGGGGAAAATACAGCAACGCGTTTGCCTCTATCTGAAGTTGAATATCCATCAACCAGTAACAATGTTCGCAATCAAGATATTGATGATATTGTAATGATTGGTAATGTCCCCTTTCCTAAATCTATGATTGAATCATTAATGTTTGATCTCGATGAGAATGATATTTTAAAATCTGTCACTAAATAATCTTTATAGTTTTTTTTCTTTGTATTTATTTGTGTTGAATTTTTTTTTTATTTTTTTCCGATTTTTAGTTTCCATTCTTCTTTAAAATTGAATTGAATTTTATTTATTAAAATATCGAATTAGTATATTAAAATAAAAACGTGTTTTTATTCAATATCCGAGATCCGTGCAGACCCCTTGGAAAAGTTTGATACATTAAGCTCTAAATGGGGTAAGGATAAAGAGGTATTTTTAAGGTCATACAAAGCCTTAAACTTATACTGTTCCCATGTGGAGTTTTTCCATCAATGACACTCAGTGGTAGAGGTAGCAGAAAACTCGAAGCCAAGATCCATGACCCAAAGGCCCTTGAGGGATTCCAAAAACTTCATTACATGGACTACTCCATAAACTTAAAATTAGCAATATGTCGCATTGTCATATCATAAACGATAGCACATGAACTACTCCAAAGTCCTACTACTACTCGGTCCATTAAACAGGTTGTGTAAGAGAGATCGTTATCGGCAGAAGGCTGACATAGTTGTCGGGCGGGCCTAACTTTGTTTACCCTCCACCATAATGTGGAAATCATATCTCCGATACAAATACGGCTAATTTATCAACTATTTAATATTTCGAATTTTATAGATTTATAGGAAAATCGTATTTTAATAAAAGCCATCACGTCTCCATGCATATATTTATTAAAATATAACAATTAAATTGGAATATTGCATCTAATAATAAAATTAAATATAAATTCTTAAATAAATAAAACATGTGGTTCCCAGCACGTAAACACTCAACCATTAAATGACCAAACATAACACACGGTCTGTTTAATACGCTGCTCCTGCAATATTCCTATATGCCGCAGCATTGTTAGACGATTTTGTGTCTTCTTATCCAACATTTTATTTTGATGACGTGAAATATCTCCGGGTGTTATGAAATATTTTCCTGGTAAATAACTGGCCTGGTCATTGTACAGTTTCCATAATTCCAAATCATTGCCGCGTAAAATATTACGCTGTTTATGTATTAATTGATATTTTTCGTTGAAGCATGGTATAATTACGCTTTCCAAGAAACCATTTAATTGATCCACAGTTTCACGACCGCTCATGTATCTAGAAAAATAATAATTTATAGGTTATTAATCGTTTTTACAAAATATTTTAAATGTGACTTACTTTGGTATTTTATCAAATTGTTGTGGACTTATGTGTACATCAAATTCCGCAAAAAATATAGGTATGGGAGCAATTTTCTTCTTCACCAAAGGTAAATTTTTATAGTCACTCATTTTCAACCGCGGTGTAATGGCCGGATTCAAATGCAGACTAGCCAAATCGCCACCAAGCCTTTTCACAGCCGACGATTTGACCGCACTTCCACCGGGTGCACTTTTACCACAACTTAGTAGTAATTGTACTTTTTTCTGTTCCTCTTCTGCCGCCTTTAGTTTACGTTGTTTCTCCTTTATAACATAATCCATAATTATCATTTGCTTTCTTCTCATATCGGACATAACACTCTCATAATCATCTTCAACTTTTTTCAATTCTTCCTGCAAAGCTTGATGGGCTAGCACCAATGCATCTTTAATTTTTATAGATTTATCAATGATTTGTTTCAACTCATTACTAATCTTTTTTCGTCGTAAACTTAATGCAATGAAGTCATTGAGGCGATTTATTTTACTCTGGATTTGTTCGAAAAATTCTTCAAACGTTAATACGTTTTCCATTATTAATTATTATTTCTTTAATGTCCTTAATTAAAATTAATTATAATGAATTAAATGAAATGGCGGGAGCACTGTTTTGAAAATGTAATCACAAAAAAAATTAATCGATAGTATCGATAATGATAAATCGAATAATATCGATACATTTGGTATGTTCCCGTACTGCAAGAATCTACTATTTTTTACTCCGATAACACTTTTTTCCTTTATGATATCGAAGAAACTAGTAAAATCGAGTAGATTCTTGCAGTACGGGAACAGACCAATTGTTTGAATAACTTGGTCAGGCAACGGTCGCTTGCTGGCTGTATGGAAAATTAAGGTTCGGAATATGTAGAAAGATTGCACTTCCAAAAATGTTTGGTAGAATAGTGTGGTACAGTCAAATGTAATGCCCATCTAGTCTCATTTAAAAAAACGTTGGTGTAAATAAGAAATATATATTTGAATGGAACGGTTATCGATAGATTTTAAGTCCCACAGCCGAAGTCAGATGCATTCCACAAAAAATATATAAGGAGATACTTAAATGGTGACGGACATAAAATGATAAATTACAAGAATATTAAAACGGTGTACACACTATCACTTTTAAATGACACTCATGTCCAAATTTTTTTTGTGTGTTGCCTTTAAATGCCTGCGATTAAAGGGAAAACAGAATGGAATTGTTGGATTTGTTTTCTCAAGTCTAATGTCAAAAATGTCGACTTTGTTTACGTTTTCACAATGGAAGTCAATTCACAATAATGCATTTTGACAGCAAACTTGAGAGGTATCGATTTCCTGCTGGTCTCCCAGGGTGTCCTTATTTATAGGCCATGTTAAGGGCTAGGTAGAATGTGTTATCGAAAATACAACAACCACAAAGAAACGATAGCACTAATGTTGAAGTTGATACGCGATAACAAAAAAATGCTCAACTCGAGCATTCTGTTTAGCCCTTTATCGTCGACGTTTGAAATTGATGTGAGTTGCACATCGGAGTTAAATATATTTAACATTTTGCGTGCGTTGACGCGATTTGCGATAATTTACTGGTTTTTACTACGATACCGAATTTTTCTTTATATTATCGAAGAAAATAGTAAAATCTAGTAGATTCTTGCAGTACGGGAACATACCAGTGGTTGCTGCTTACGCTTTATTTATCAATTTTTGTTTTGATTATGAAAATTGTAGCCATATTTCTGAACATGCATGCTTGTACAATTTTTCCTTTAGTCCCAATTTAGATTAGGCGAGTTTACTTGCGCAAGTCTTTGTTTGCTGGAGAGAGGGGCAACGGGAATAGAAATTGAAAAAATTGCTCATACCGGCAATTTTCTGGCAATTCGTTTTGTGTATTTTGTTTGTAGTGTCATTAATTTGATACATCAATCCAGAACATTGTCAAATGTAAAAAAATATTTTTGAAGCCGAATTGCCGTATAGACGCATGAAGCAAGTTTAAAACAGATCGAAAAGTAAACTCGCCTAACCTAAATCAGGATTTATGATATAGAAAAAAAATAGTAAAAATTAACATTTTACCAAAAACGCGAAAAATTAATGAAATGTCAGGTTTTCTTTTCAAAATCGAGTTGGGGATATGATTTACATGTTGGTTCATTCACAAATGTTGTAAAATGCATCTTCAAAATTGAGTTGGGGATATGATTTACATGTTGATTCATTTACAAATGTTATAAAATTCATCTTCAAACAAATCGATTTTCGAATATATTTTGTTATATTTTTCAAAACATTAAACAAACAGTCAAATATTTTATATATGACTTTGGCATAACAAGCCACAGCCTGAAAAAATTTTAATTTATAGGTTGCTATGGCCAATCTTGAATAGTTGTATCATGGTCCCAATTTTATTTGAAAAATTAGTATATTCGGTCAAGAATTTAATATAATCATAATATATGAATTATTTTCAGTGAAATCCATGTTCTGGAGTAGATCACAAGTGATTTGAAACACATTTTTTATAAATATTAGAAATATAATTATATATTTTTAAATTATTTGAATTCGATGTATGACCATGCACTTGCACCGAACAGCCAAACGAGTGGAACTGTTTTCAATTTTGTAGTGATGTGCTGAAAACGATAATACATCGTTTTTCATTTATCGAAAATCGATTTTTCATTAAAATCGATGCTATTTTCCAATCTCTAGGTTTCCTTTCTTTTGCAACTACGTCGTGATAAAGCCAACATGGGTTTTGCTAATCTCTGGTACTCTCATCCTCGTAAATACGGCCAAGGCTCCAGATGTTGGTAAGTTTGGAAACGTTATTAAATATCCTGCAAAATGATGTAGGAATATTATAAATTTCCCTGCAAGAATTTCCAGAAAATTCCGTTTTTAAGTTGGTAACCAAAAAGTGAGGTTATGTTGTGATGTGTGTACGCGTATATGCATTGGTACAATGTGCTTTTGTTAAAAAACGCTATTGCAATGGAATTCATAATGAAATATGTATAACAAATGTTGGAAATAGTGTGCCCCCGGTTGAGTTCGGAATTTGTGTTACAATTAATCTTTGCATTTTCCTTAATTAAGGGTGGCTACATTAAAATTTTCTTCATTGCTGTTTATTAAGATGTTCCCTCGAACCATGTGGGGGGATATCATATAGTGATGAGAAAGATATCAACAACAAAACCAAATGTTATTTTTTCTATTTTTGTTGTGGTGGCAATAAACATATAAATTAATACATATTTGTTTTTCATTACAGCCGTGCCTGCTCTAACCGTCACGGTTTGATCCGTAAATATGGCTTGAACATCTGCCGTCAATGCTTCAGAGAATACGCCAACGACATTGGCTTCAAGAAGGTAAGAGACTGCATTTGTACACATTCCCTTTACCTTCAAATTTATTAATGTTTTTCTTCTTTGTTCTTTTCTTTTGCAGTTGGATTAAATCCGCTTTTTTGATGACCACATCTATGAAGAGAAACGCCACACCCCAACCATTAGAAAGTCTTATGGACTTTTGTTGCACACACAGTGCAAATGGAATGCGTCACCATTTTTTTTAGTTAAATATGGCCAGTGGGGGTGTTTAATAAATAACTAAATTTTCCTCATATTGTTGGAAAAACATTTTCCAATGGTTAATAAAAAAGATATTTAAAACACACATTTTATTTTTTTTATTTTCTATAAACTTGTCAATTATTAATGATTTAACGAAAAGTTAACATGTTCATCTAGTTTTTATTGGTTGGGTGTTGACATCCTTTCCCATTCGTTTTAAAAGCAGCTATATTTTTTGTTGAAAAGAAAAATGAATGTAATTTCCTGTTAATGGTAAAGACAAATTCGACACTTGTTGCACAGACTGGTTATATGAGTAGCAAGCAGTACATACGCTCTATTACAAAATAAATTGAATTGTGGCATTGAGTCTATGTTACCAGAGCAACGTAATTTGAACCAGTAGACAAACCACATTTATGGTTTTAGTTTATTTGTGGGACAAATACTGGTATTTTTCTATATCCTCTGAGGGAATAGTATATCCAAAATAAATTGTATGGAAATGAAAAAACGTGGCATTAATTGCAAATAGAGAAATCGGAGAATATTCATATAAATAGAATTTGACGCATTTGTTCTCATAAAATATAAAGTAAATAATAAAATAGTGCGAATCATTAATATTTCTTTAGAAAACGGACAATGTATATAATGACTTACGACAAGTTTAAGGCCCGGCCATATACGTCTGTCAGTAGAAATAGAGTTCGCAATATTTAAGATAGAGCTAAAATTGAGCATTGAAAATACGAAATTGGGTATCCAAAATATTGGCATAGCCCCCACATAAAAATGGGGAACGAATATAGGTATTTTTAATATCTCATTTTTATTTATTTTTAATATCTCTCATGATGGAGCGTATCAAAAATTGTTTACTTGTTATTAATGCGGATGTTTTTGTGATGATAGCTATACAAATTCAGCGTCTACGTCGTCGATGTAATGATGTGAGAAATATAATACACCAATGAAATGTATAGAATTAGTATCTGTTGTTTGATATACTGCTTTCTCCTGGTAGCAATTTGCGATGGCATAGCCCCCACATAAAAATCGGGAACGAATATAGGTATTTTTAATATCTCATTTTTATTTATTTTTAATATCTCTCATGATGGAGCGTATCAAAAATTGTTTACTTGTTATTAACACTAGAACGCCGAAGGCGGTCATTTTGACCGCGGTCATTTTGACCGCTTACATTTCATTGGTGTATTCTATTTCTCACATCATTACATCGACGACGAGCAACTGTGCATTTAATGACACTTGTTTTTAAAATCTGGTAAATTTTTTATAATAAACGTAATTCTATGAGGTACAAAAAGTCACCATATTTAAAAAAAAAAAGTGTCATTAAATGCACAGTTGCTTTTGTACTTGAAATTGGAAAGCGGTCAAAATGACTGCCTTCGGCGTTCTAGTGTTAATGCGGATGTCCATACTTCCAGAAATAATGGGCTCCACACTTGTTCAGGATATTAATAATAACACAAAAGACCTTAACGTATTTAATTTTCCTAACACTCCAGATTTTTGTGATGATAGCTAAACAAATTCATCGTCTACGTCGTCGATGTAATGATGTGAGAAATATAATACACCAATGAAATGTATAGAATGTGTGAAATGGTCTTGCAGAATAATTAAATAGTTAGCAACTTAACGTAATGGTGATGATCTGAACCATGAACCAAAAACTGTTCCTGTAATATAAGTGGTAGGAGTTCTAAAACTTAACACCACGAGATATAGGGTAGAAGAGGCGGTATTAATCTTAAATACCGCATAAGGGAACCCACCCATTTTCGATTTGAAATGTTGATCATTTTCAAACGGCTGGGAAATCAATGTACGGTATTATATTGAAGTCTTGTTTCTTTGCATATATGTATGTTCGAGAAGACTTAAAGGATAAGAAAATTAATAGACATAATGTTCTGGTATAAACTAGGATAATTACCATCGCACAAAAATTAGGAAAATGGCGGACATATGAAGTGTTTTTTTTTTGGAAAAATTACATATTTTCGGCCAAAATCATGTTAGAAAATAAGGAAAATATTGACCAATTGCATTTGTCCCAGTTCATATAGCTATGTACAAACTAAATAATGTGTTAACATTTTGAACCGATTGAATTATTAGTTTTTGAGTTATGGGCCCATTTTTATACCATTTGTAAAAAATACTTTTTCGGGAAAAACGCGTTTAAACTTTGAGAAGCAATTTGTCCATCGCTTGATACTGACACATTAAATCTTGTATATCATCAAGAGTTGTTGAGATTTCCACTTAAAGGGACATTCTTGAATTGGTGTAGGTTTGAGATAAATAGAAACCCAATATAATTTTTTGCATCCGGCCATTAAACTTTTATGGCATAGGGGCAACTCTAAATGTGGACGGTATTTTCGGTTTTGGAGCCACGTTTTACAGACGTATTGAAAAACGTGCCCCCAAAATTTACCTCCGATTGATTTTAGGTATTTTGAAATGCCCACCTTGTGGGGAAAGGTATAACAAATTCGACCCCGACATTTTCACTTGTTTTTTTTACATGTAAGGGATTAGAATAGAGAATATTATAGCCGCATAGAAGGGAGTTTTGTACAATATTTTGGGATCTAACTGGAGGATATTATTCAAGGCTTTATCATTGAAACTTTTAATAATTTTTGGAGGCAGATTTAAAGTTTTAAATCGTAGATACAGGCCATTTAAAGGAAATTGTGTGCTTTAGAATACCTGATTTTCGAAAAGTTACAATATTGTCATGCCAAATTAGAATGGTTAGTGCGTTGTGGGAATTTTGTAAGTAGAAAGAGTGTGTTATTTTTAACTATTACACCTCCATTCCCTATTTTATATTTGAACGATTTTCTATAAGCTGTTATTTAAATACATAACACATTAATTTATTTGAAAACTTTAAAAAGAAATACCAAATTTTAATTTGTACATACCTTATTGTTTGTTTTCAGTTACTAAACAAAATTTATTCTCGTCGGCATGTGACGTCTTACCACTGGAACATCTGAAATCAAAAATGTATATAAACTATTAATTTGATGTAACCTATAGTTGTCTTGTCTAATCTATTTATTTATTTCAAAAATGCAATTTGAAGCCTCAAAAGCTTCAAGTATATTATTTTGAAAAATGTGAAATTTAATGACCAAGCTTTATTTTGTTTTACTTTAGGCAATCCAAAGTCCTAATCGGAGGTAAATTTTTTATTTGAAAAACTTTACAGCAGCCCTTTTGTGTAACATGAACTTTAGAAGATTTAGTATGACATTTACTAAAATCTACTATTTCCTGTTTTTCAAATTTCAAACCTTTTGTTGATGGGTCAACAAATATTGGTAATTGGACTTTGGCAATTCTCATTAAAAGCAAAAAAAAAAAATCAACAATTACAAATTGCACAAAGTCTATTGTAAAATTAAAAATTAAATTAAAAAGCAAAAAAAAAAACATTTGTTGCTACATTGAAATATGTGAAGAATAATATTTTTTGGGGCTAACATTCACGTTTATTGCCATAAATTCAGGAGGTTTTAATACACCATTAAAAACAAAAGTATACTAATAAAAATGATAATACTATTATAACGAAAAAATCCAACAACAAAATATTTCGTACTTCAGCCGATAGGTGAGAAGAGTGTGGAATTGAAAAAACGTCCAAATAAAACAAAAATTTGCCACCTTAAACACAGCGGCACAGAGCCACAGTGACTTAAATTTTAAAGTCGTACACGAATAGTCTGAAAACCAACAACTTAGTTTTTGTTGTTGTTATTGAGTATGATTTTCCACAATTAAGGTGGTATGAATATAACAGAACAGTGGTTACAAAAGGAGTGTTTTGTTGAGGTAGAATAATGTTGGTGTTTGGATTAAGTGTCAAAAATTTTTATTTAAATAGAACAGACAGTCATATTTTTAATATAATATAAAGGAGGTTCTCATATGGAACGATCTAGTATATTTTATTTGGAGGTATCGAATAAGAAGTTTATAATCCTATTTTGAATTGAATTATTAGTGTCCAAAGTCCAAAGTCTGAAAGGGATATTCTTGATCAGAATTAAATTCTATATCGATTTAGCCATGTTCGCCAGTCTGAAAGACCCTTTGTTAAAATCAAAATAAAACTTGCAATATTGGGGATAGAACTTTGAAATTTGCACACAAGTTGCTACTACTCATAGGGTGTTAGGTATTGAAAATGGAATATACTTGTCCACGTTTTGGTACAGTATTTTCTTATTTTGGGGATGTTTTCCAACCGTATTAGGTACTTCGGGTTTTCATTGGGTAGCAAAAAAAAAAAAAAAAAAAAAAATCAATATGCTTCTACATTTTAGGGAATCTCCCTTTCCTTCCAAAATTCGTATTTTTGGAGAGTATGGACTCGTTTTTCATATATATATATATATATATATATATATAATTTGTAAACACGATATAGGCCACAGTTATAGACCAATCGTTTCGCAATTTTGAATGTAGGACGGGTTCTGGTCAAATAAGATCCCTATTGTTTTTGGTAATGATCGGTTAAACTTAAAGGGATGAAATGAATCAAAAACTTTATTTACTCACCACTCCAAGGAGAGGGGCCTGACCATTGAATAATAAATACTTTTTCATGAAGATCGGTCAATACGTAGCGGGTCAAAAGGACCCAGAATTTTGTGTGCAAAATTACAAAATGTGTATTCTGTGTCGAATATATTTATCCCTTTAGGAGATAGACCCTTAGAAGTTGATTGTATATCCAAGAGAAGTGTCGATGCCCACTCCGGGAAATCAAGATTTGGAAAAGATGCCAGGGTAAGAAAGAGGACCTGTTGACCTCTAATTCCCAGGCTCGGAATATATATCCGCAGAAAGTGTGAATTCCGTGGTAGTTGTGTAGGGTACCATTATGGTTGGCCCCGTCCGACTATACTACTCCGCTCATTGGTTTTTTCATTTT